CCATCTCCATGTTTAGCATATGTAATGGGAGCGCAACCCAAAGAATGCCTGCCGCACAATGACCTGCCCCCGCTTTAGTCCAGTGCAACTACCACGCAGCCCGTTTAGGGCCCGAATAGAGCATGGAGGTATAAAGAAAGACGCATACATGTCACTTAGTAAATAATATTTCATAACTGTCTCAAAAATCAAACAGAATCATTGGGCCTGTAAACAATACTTATAATGATTTCGGCAATTAACGTACTGACCGATCGAAAAATGCCTAAAGATGGAGAATCTACAAAGCCACTGTTCCCGCGTTCGCACCTTCGATAACATGACCTGTAGTAGCAGCAGACCGACTAGATCTAGGGTATGGAAAGGTAGCGACACGGATCCCGGATACTGGATGAAATTCATCAGCATTATCCGGAGATTCCATTTGTAATAAAGAAAAGTTGACCGAAATTGTTGTCCAAGTTCACTCGTCCGGTCCTACGAAGTTTACAATATTGATTTGTAGTGTGCTTAAGGTGGGAGATCATTTATGGCACCTTTTTCCAAGCACGCTCTCCAAAGCAGTCGTCAGTCACGTCAGAAATTTAAATATCTCGGGCACGTGCAGTTCGTCAACCGAGTTGAGGAACAAAAGCGTAAATTAAAACAAAATGTGCATGTAGTGCATTTAAACTAATTCAGGTCGGATGTAAATCCCTAAAAATAAAAGGTACAAGTACCTACTAGTCCTAATGAAAGGACCTCTGTCTGCAGTTTGTTAAGTTTAATGTCAGGACAAAATAAGGGTGATTATATTCTGTCTCGGGCTTCTGGTCAAGGGTCCGGTGGGATCGACCACACAGTAATGAAGGCTCAAAGCGAAAAAAACCTTGCAGCGGCGACAATGGGGACTGAATTTGGCTTTTTGACTTACTCGACGCTGCCAGTCGTTCAGATCCCTTAGTCAGACAGTCAAACGCGATTCGAATCCGAATCTATTGGATGACATGCATTCTTAAGTAGAGCGCTCTACCGCCACCAGAGTTACGATACTAAGCCTTGTCCCGCGAAAACCACATGGAATAGTCTTTTCATAATGTAGCAGGGAAGTGGACAGAGAAGAAGGCAGTTTAGAAATCGTCGGTGCATTGCTTTGACAAAGGGGAAGGCCCACGACAGTAAGCGACGACGCTAATGGCTGTTACGGCTGATTACTGGTCAAAGGTCGTCTAGCCGTAGTTGGAGGTTGTTGTTGTACTAGCTTACTCCCTTAACCTAGTTTGCCAGCAATACATG